CTGGTCCTTCTGTGCCAGACGCTGGCTTTGATCCACACCAACATAAGTACTCAGCCTCAAAATATCTCCCGGGTGTGAGCGTGGGCGGTACTGAATACGTGGGCGGCACCAAACACATGGACGGCAGGAAACACGTGAGCGGCAATGAACATGTGCGTCCATGGTCACCGCATATCAGTCTGGAAGACCTTGGACTGAGGATACAGACATCTTGAATGCATTACCTTAAAAAAACACGTGACTACTGGACTTTGGGAAAGGGCAGCATCTACTCACAGTTTCACTCAGCGGGGCATACTCTGACACACAACACCTACACTTGACACCTTCCATCGGCCGACCCCTACCACTTAATACCCTCCACCGCCCGATAACTACAACAAGCTAGAGAGATCACTTTCTCAGACACAAATTAACACCAAGAGCGTCGACCCTGCCAGTATCTAGCTACCACCCCCTCCCTAACCATTACCTGTGTGACGGCGTCTCCCCTCCTCCTCCTCCTCCTCCCTCTCTGTTGATCTGGTCCACCACCCCTCATTACATCCGGGAACGTGTTTATAAACCTGTCTCTCGTATTCCTGGTAGAGTAATTCTTTATACATCCCACCCAAGGGCTATCCGCCCATCACCCTGAAGCTACCTACCCTCCACTCTGGAACTGCTCACTTTTCAACACTCGGGCTACCCCTACCTGGAGTCTGCCTGGAGGGCATTCCGCGAATCAACGCCCCCGCGGCCCGGTCCATGACAGGTCTCCTGGTGGATCAGGGCCTGATCAACGAGGCTGTTACTGCTGGCCGCACCTAGTCCAACGTACGAACCACAGCCCGGCTGATCTGGCACTGACTTTAGGTGTCTGTCCAGCTCCCTCTTGAAGGCAACCAGGGGTCTATTGGTAATTCCCCTTGTGGCTGGTGGGAGGCTGTTGAACACTCTTGGGCCCCGGACACTTATGTTTTCTCTTAGTGTACCAGTGGCGCCCCTACTTTTCACTGGGGGTATGTTACATCGCCTGCCAAGTCTGGAGCTATCCCTCTTCCACTCTGGGGAGTACCCACCCTCTACATCTTCATTCTGAGGCTACCACCATCCACTACAGTAATCCCTCCTTTCAAGGTGGCATAAAGTGTCCACCTTGACTCATATAAGACATGACAAAGATGTAAAATCAGCAAGATGGCTCATACAGATGAAAAAATACTACATTAATTATAAAAAAAATACTATTTTAATTGCAAAATGAGGAAAAAATGACACTCTTCAGGTCACTTGTTCTATCTAGGCTGGAATATTGCTGCACACTAACAGCACCTTTCAAGGCAGGTGAAATTGCTGACCTAGAAAATGTACAGAGAACCTTCACGGCGCGCATAACGGAGATAAAACACCTCAATTACTGGGAGCGCTTGAGGTTCCTAAACCTGTATTCCCTGGAACGCAGGCGGGAGAGATACATGTTTATATACACCTGGAAAATCCTAGAGGGACTAGTACCGAACTTGCACACGAAAATCACTCACAACGAAAGTAAAAGACTCGGCAGACGATGCAACATCCCTCCAATGAAAAGCAGGGGTGTCACTAGCACGTTAAGAGACAATACAATAAGTGTCAGGGGCCCGAGACTGTTCAACTGCCTCCCAGCATACATAAGGGGATTACCAATAGACCCCTGGCAGTCTTCAAGCTGGCACTGGACAAGCACCTAAAGTCGGTACCTGACCAGCCGGGCTGTGGCTCGTACGTTGGATTGCGTGCAGCCAGCAGTAACAGGCTGGTTGATCAGGCTCTGATCCACCAGGAGGCCTGGTCACAGACCGGGCCGCGGGGGCGTTGACCCCCGGAACTCTCTCCAGGTAAACTCCAGGTAATAATACTGCAAAGCTTATGTTTATGCGTGATGAGATGTAGTTAATGTTGCATCCGTGAAGTATTTAAGAAATTATAGGAAAACTAACTTCTGAAGACGGATACCACGAGCGTAGCTCTGCTAATATAACTACAGACATTACAAATATATAATTACTAAGGTAATTGTAAATAGAATTAAAATATACATTATCACACAAAGCTGAATCTACCACAACATCAATGCATGTGTATACTTCCTATCCTTAACCAGCGTGACGTCAAGCGGCCAAACTTGGAGAGATGGGAGAGGGGCAATCTTTTAAAGTTTGCCCCATCAGGAAGGTATTTCTAGCTCCTGTGGTACCTTTGGCTGGTGTGGGAGAAGCGAAGATAACGAGCACTAATAAAGTTATATAAATACACTAGGTAGGAGGGTTGATCTTGGTAAGCGAGACTGGCAACATGTGTTGAGGGAAGGGAGGTCGGCCACAACACCCGCACACACCTTCCACTTCAGAATTTCATGGTCACGTATTCAACACGGATCATTTTTTTTCCTTCAAGGTATATCAGGGTGTTAGGTAAAATATTTACCTGCTTTTACAGATCTTTGGAATTTGTAATTCGATGATTATGCGGATGTGAACTATGAATTATTTATGATGTTAGAGTACATATCAATTGAAAAACTTCAATGAACAAGGCAATACTAGCTAACCTAAGAACAGCGCTCCTGAAGCTTAATAAAGACTATTAGGACACTGCACATATGTCAGACCCATCCTTGAATATGGGTCACCAGCACTGAACCTGCACCTGATCAAGCAAACAAACACTAGAAAAGATTCCAATATTCGCATTCGGAACAGAGAGAAATGGGTTATGATGACACTTTAGGGTAACCTAGCACTAAAAGAGAGGAGAACCAGGGTAACGGCGGTATGATCTTGTCAGGAATACTAAGAAATGTCCAGGTAAGTTGACATATTCTTAAGGCATATGTTGACACATGCTTAAGGCATATGTCAACTTACCTACAAGTGGGCCATCTTGCCGAAAGTCCACGGCATTCGCACGATACGTTTCACTATAATCAAAAGTCTATTCTTAGGTTTGCCAGTTTGCACAGGCTATCGAACTCGTGCGGTTGATGTACTCGTCTAGCAATATGTTTGGTGTGGTGTTCTTTCGTCGATAGTTGTCATTTTTCTAGACACTTTTTCTTTGTCTTTTGTCTTTCAGGTTTCTTAATTAATGGAGTTTCACCTTTCTTTGCTTTCCTAGCTTGTAATTAAGTCAGAAGACTTCACAAGATCCCCTGATTGCATACTGGCTTTCTCTGGCGAAGCAACATTTCTTTAAACGCCACATTTACTTCATCTTGATATTTTTCCATTACTTTGGACAAGATACATGTCACTACAACCAACCTAGGGGGAATGATATGGTGATACCGACAAGATGTGGAAAAAGACACATATGTACAGTTCAGGACATTTATTAGAGGAAACGTTTCGCCACGAGTGGCTTCTTCAGTCCTAATACAGAGAAAACTAAGAAAACGTATATATATAGTGGCAGGAGTCAGGCGAGGTGACGCGTGGGTAGAGGTGGTGGTAGTGGTAGTAGTGGTAGTAGTAGTAGTAGTAGTAGTAGTAGTAGTAGTAGTAGTAGTAGTAGTAGTAGTAGTAGTAGTAGTAGTAGTAATGGAACTAAGGAGGTGATGCAAGAGAGGGACCTGCTGGCATCATGTAACACCAGTTCCCAGGATGGGTAATATCCTCTTGCTTAGTAATTTTGAAATACTGTAACTACCGGATTTTTGCTTTATAGTGTTACTGACAGAAATTAGTGCAGCTTCAATGCATTTTCTCCGTCTTAAGTCGTCTTCTTTAATAACTAGTTTAGCTTCATTGAATTTCATGAGGTGTCCAACATCGTCCCTATGTTGAACACATGCGTTTTTAAGACGGAGAAAATGCATTGAAGCTGCACTAATTTCTGTCAGTAACACAATAAAGCAAAAATCCGGTAGTTACAGTATTTCAAAATTACTAAGCAAGAGGATATTACCCATCCTGGGAACTGGTGTTACTTGATGCCAGCAGGTCCCTCTCTTGCCTCACCTCCTTAGTTCCATTACTACTACTACTATACTACTACTACTACTACTACTACTACTACTACTACTACTACTACCCACCACTACTACCACTACCACCACCTCTACCCACGCGTCACCTCACCTGACTCCTGCCACTATATATATACGTTTTCTTAGTTTTCTCTGTATTAGGACTGAAGAAGCCACTTGTGGCGAAACGTTTCCTCTAATAAATGTCCTGAACTGTACATAAGTGTCTTTTTCCACAACCAACTTAGTTCGGTACCTCCTGTCTGTCTCCTTAAATATAGAGACTAAACTAATCAGCTTTCAGCTATAAAACTTCATGTTATAAAACTCATGAAACTTTCCGAGATTAAGTTCACTTAACGAATGGAAAAAAAATTAAAAAAAAAAAAATATAAAAAAAATCTTGGAATATTTACTGAAATTACAATAAACTTCAAGTTATACAAGAACTCTATGGACATTTGTTTGGTTGGTGACAATTTTCAATAATTTCGGCCCATAAAAATTTTCGTTATACTAATGAACATGATTTGTGGAACCTGTGTTAAAATTTTAGATACGAATTATTTGAATTACTGCACCTAAGAAAACCATACCACGAGTGGGGATAGAACCCGCGGCCAGTTGGCCCGGTGGCTAACGCGTCGTTCTGGAGTTTTATGACTCTCTGATTACGGGTTCTATCCCCGCCCTTGTATGATTTGTTTGCATTCGTGTCATTACGATTTCGTGAGTACTGCACCTATTTATTATTAATCTACAATATGTTTTTCATTAACTTTATACTTATTGGTGTAGTTATTTACATTGTTCTGTGAGGGAAAGAGGTGAGTGTACACACGTTATTACACAGCTAATAATACTTACATGGTGATGAATGATGTAGGCTACACATAAGTGTAAATGTTTTTATAGCGTTACACAATGACAAAGTATACCTGTCTGCAATAATATCTGACTTCCCTACCTTCTCCTCATCAATACTACAATATCATGCACAACAATATGTTACCTGTGGAGTGGGAGGTCGTCGTGTTTTGTCGTCCTCGTCACTACTCATCACCGTAACCCCTGAGCCAAGCCGTGGCCGGAAGCGACGGAACTCTTGAACAGGGTCCGGGCATGAGCATGTGGCCCCTGTGAGTGTGCTGGGCTCCGGGGAGGGAAGAGAGGGGACAGTGTCTACCGTCTGCGTCATCAACTCCAGAGGGCTGGGCATCTCTGCTATGAGAGGCTCAATATTCCTGCTCCTCCGGAGTGATCGTCGCAGACGTTGGAAGAATGAAGGTCGTTGCTCCAGAGAGACCTGAGCTGGTAAAGATGCGCGACGAAACCGTCGCCGCTGTAGCGCCGGGGCCAAGCCCACCTGGTAAGGTATACTGGTACCATGCAGGGGGCACAGACCCTTGTCCCTTCCAGCCAAGGACTGCGTGCTTCCATTAGAGCTCAGCCTTTCTCCCTGGACGTGAGACTCTGGGCTTGGTGATGCCTCGGGGTCTCTGCAGAGCTCGGGATCAGAGGTCACACCCGTGTCGGATTCTGTGTCAACAGGAACGTACACGCCCCGCCGGCGATTTCTATGACGCGGACCTGAGACACATGGTTCCTCGCCGGTGTTCTGTGCACCGTCCTGATTGACAATATCCAGAAGCCTATGTATGAAGACCGCGTCCCTGCTGTTGGCGAGGGTTGTGGGGGAGTCTGTAGGTTCAACCAAGCTTTCCTCCAAGCTGCTGGACTGCTGCAACACAGGAGGCGAGGCAGACACTGAACGACTTCCCAGCTCTAGCCTCGTCTCAGAGACCAAAGTGATAGGCTTCTCCAGAGTAACGATATGTCTTTCGCCGGTGAGGCTGCTGGTACTACTGCAGGTGGCTGTGGACCGCCGCCGGCCATAATATGCAACCGACGAGGGTGAAGAGTGTGGGGAAAATACCGTCAGCGTGGGGCATACCTCCGCTAGAGATACCCGCCTTTCGATTTCCCTCACACGGTCACCTCGAGTGTACAGAGCGTCGGAGTGAAGGTCACCCACCAGGCACTCGTCAGTAATGGTGGCTGCACACCTTGACTTTTTCCTTTTCCTACGGGAAGAGGGGCGCCTCACCCTACCTCCCTCGTTCATCTCTTGCTCCGGGTGATCACTGGGCCTCAGGGGCACATGGTTACAATCCTCATCAGGAATGTCCTCTTTATTAATATGGTAAGTGTACATTTCCTCGGCTATAGTTTTACTGAGCTCGTACTCGTTTTCTTTGGATTCCGATATGGGAGGTTCTATAACAAAATTGACTTGCTCATAGGTGTGGCCTGCAAGGCTGCTATTGAGGCTAGAAATACTCATCTGGTCGCCTTGAATCTGGCGAGGCACTGGTGGTGCTGCCCGGGGAGGGAAAGGTACAACATCCTCTGGAAGAAGGGGCATCAACCTCATGGCCTCAGCCTCCCCCCCACCAGCAGCCACTCCTGGGCAGGCGGGTACTGGCTGTGGTGGTGCTCTCGGCAGCGGCAGGTGAGGATGTGGTGGGTTTCCACAGTCCACATGACGGAGAGGTGACCAGAACCAAGGTAGGGGTGGGGATACTGGCGCACGGACGGGTGTTGTCACAGCGGTTGGGGGTGGCACCTCCTGAGGAGGTGAACCTCCGGAGTGTCTGCTGGTGCGCTTGTCTCGCGGCAACACTAGCTTCAGCAGCAGTGACGCACCTGGAATACTTCCCGTCAAGTCTTTCCAGGTATTTTCTTCGTGACCCCGTTGGTCACTCCCATGGCTCGCGGGACCCTCGTGATTCTTGTAGGAACCACGCTTGTTATCTGGAGGTATTGTGCAATTACGAAGCTCAAATGAGAGCCAGGAGGCGTCTGCGTGGCAGTGCTGCTGTGGAGAGTTCCTCGCCGACGTATCCGACGTAGAGTGCTGCCCTCTGACCCCGTACTTCGGCTGGAGCTGTGACGCTTCACATTCGTCACTTTGCTGCTCCCGCCCTTTCGTTCCCTTCTGTCCCAAGAGGAAACGTCTGATGTCACGTGACGACCACCTTTCCTGGTGTAGGTGTCGGGAATCCGACTATTTTCTTTGTGGTTAGAATCTCTCTTGTGAACATCTGCTAAATCTTCCGGAGGCTGTACTCTGACGAGTGTAATGTCACCAGAATACACCTCTTTAGACAGTGATCCTCTTCGAAAAATTTGTCTGTCGACGGTACTGCCACCCTTATTAATCCTGGGGGTCATGTCGGCAGACAGTCTGCGTTCGACGCCCTCTAGGACGTTGGGACGCGGCTCTTTCAGTATTCTAACGTTCCCGTTCGCATCTCTTGTTTTGTTCTTAGAAAGACCCACGTCCTTCTTCCTGACAGGAACAAGACTGGGAGGGGTTGCTGGTTCCTCACGTGGGCATCCTTTGCCTGGGATACCTCGCTCCTCCGCCGGTAACTCTGTGTTCTTCAGCAGAAGCCACTCCCGGGCCACGACTGTCCGAGGCTCACTTTTACCCCCAGCAGGATGAGACACCTCCATGAAGATGTCTCCTATAGCGTCGTCTCCACCGGCAGCAGCGTCCTTCTTCTTCCTGCCAGACTTACGTTTATTTTTTCCCTTGACGCTGCTGTTGGAATTTGGTCTGTTGGTCTTATCTGGCTTCCTGAGAGCCGCTCCACCCTCTTGGCGGTGGATCATGGCTTGCATTGTCAGCATCTTCACAACTGCGCTAGATCACACCTATCACACACATTGTCACAATTTTCCTCACCCTCAGCACCTTTCATTTTTTTCTCACACTATATTAAACTACAGTAACACGATACACTCAATCAGTCTTTGGTTATTCAAGGTCAACAAATAATCAGGTACATTACGTGGTTATGTACACAAATTTGTATTGTACACTACCCTAAAAGATACAAAAGTCTGAATTTACACACTTATGTAAGCTATTAAAAACAACAAAAAAAGCAAATTAAATAAGGTGCCACCCAACAGACTTCCACCTGCGTCTTGCAAGACATCAAATCTTCACACCTACATCTTACAACACGTCAAACCTTCACACCTGCGTCTTAAACATTTATCTTTACACATGCGTATCTGTATGACCCCAGTAGGTTTAGCTAGGTTTTGATTATAACAATAACAATACACATGCGTATTAGTTCTAACCTCCACACTTGCGTCATATAAAGACACTTCCAACCTCCACGCCTGCATCTCACATTTTTTGCTCCTGCAAGCAGCACTAGAGGAGGTCAAGAAAGTGTCTTAAGATGATTCACGATTTTGACGTAGATCACTGTGCTAGGGTGGATCACCTCTCTGGAGGGAAGACGAGACACGCTGTGCTAGGCTGACTAAACATTATAACTTGGAAGGGTGTTGGAAAAGTGTCACGCAAGTTCAAAAAACTTTCAAAAAAGGCCAAAGGATACCATTGAGATGAGAAGCGGAGTCATGGAGGGGTGAGAAAAATGGTGATGGTGTTGGCAGTGTATGTCAGGAAGGGGGTGACGGCGGTGCCCTTTGTAACAGGGTGGTAAAGGACACCCGCTCCTGTCACGGTGAACACACACACACACACACACACACACACACACACACACACACACACACACACACACACACGGAAAAGGAAGCTAAATGGAGAGACGCAAAACAATCTAATAACACTAAAAGGGAGAACTAGATATGATCATGGCTGACAAAATACTAGTAGGACTACAGTACAGAGAATAGATGAGGACAAGGAGTGAGATGTGAGGAAGAAAGGTCATCTGAACTGTGATGTCAGCACACTTCTCACAAGACAGGCATTATTCTGAATAAGTCACAGTAAAAACGTTCTTCTTTTTTGAGTCACCCTACTTTGGTGAGAGTTGGATGGCTTGTCTGGCCTGTCGTTGCTCTGTGACTAAAAAAAATTAGGACAACTCCACACAAGTACTAAGCATAATGTCAGTGAGAGTAACAATAAAGTATCTGATGACAGCATGTTGTGTGTGTCTTCAGTCTAATGTGGCTCACACACCCCGCCCCTGTACTCGTGCATCAACCTTTCTCAGCAACGCATATTTTTGTCCTGGCTTAACACACTTGGTTGGTACTCACAGAAAAAAGAGGGGGGGGGGAAAGGGGGTGCCCTCACGCCGATACTGCACCAGTTACAAGCCTCAACACATCAGAGGTCTTCGCAAAAGTACTCTACCAATCTTAAGGACAGCCATTAGTTACACCTGACTAGTCAAGAGTGCAAATATGAGTCAATACAACATCATACTATGCAAACAAGAGGCCTCATCATTAGGGTAAACTCATACACAGTTTTGGAAGGCCAGAATCCAGATGTCAACCAAGCCAGGAGCTGTCACAACTTCCAGAAACACAAGTCGGTGAGAACAAATCGCTCTAATATGATTTTCGTATCAGAAATAAACGACAAGTCTCATGGGAATTCTAAGATTGACTGCTGGCGGCGACGTAGCAGGTGAGGTCATGGAGGTGAAAGCGCGTGTTATGATTCCTGAGCACCTGAATGTTTTGTACACACTATTGCTCAATATAGAGTCATCAGTAAAAGGATACTAACCCAGTCAAATGCTAACAACAAAATATTTCTTTTTACTGTTACGTATGTTACCTTATAATAATTTTGATCTCAATCAGTACTTCATGCAGAAGTAATCTGACGGCGTTCTTCCCATTTTCGACCTGATGATAGATACATCGGATGAAATACATCGGCTCATCAAACAAAAGGACTCGTCTCGCCTCACTGAAAATCCCAACAGATAAAGAGAATTAACTCTAACCTGGCTGGAGGAGGATAACTATTCAGTCCTCAGAGCTTGCTGTCAGAATGAGGCACCTTACTGTGAGGCAGTGTCGACAACAAGCATAACACCCACATCTTGGATTTTCAACACAAGTGCGTCTCCAGTAGCTTCTGACCAAACTTTCAGATCAATCTTAGTTTTGCTATCGTTGCCTCGGCAACAATAGCAAAACTATTAACTGACACTTATCTACATACGTAAAAAAGTGTATACGTAGACAAGTGTCAGTTAATAGAAGACATCCTACCTTTGGCCTTTTTTCGGTAGGAAGCAAAGACAAGAACACTGGCTTCAGGAAGAGTTGGCTTCAAAATGTGGGGATTCCTGGTCAAATATCGACAGGGATGTGATAAATAGTTTATAAAACCCACAAGTTGAGAACGAGACACTTATGCAACATTTGGGAATCTTTATTGAGGAACCGTCACTGGCTGAAGGAAACGTTTCCTCGATAAAGATTCCCAACTGTTGCACATTCATCGACAGGGATATCACAACACGGGAACCTAATTCCACCCTCTAGATCACCAAGATGAGACTGTCACAACAAGCATTCAAGAAAATGCTCATCTATTTGTAGACCATTTTACTGCTACGGTACAAGTCCATGATTCATACACTTATTGTTACATACTATCAATGCACAGTTATTAATAATAATGTGTATGTATTTGTGCGAATGCATAATTATATTTATAGACTTTTATAGATACACAGAAATATCCTGGCTGAACAGGCAATCAACAAGGAAGCAGCCTGATCATAGGCCTGGCTGCCAGGGTTGAAAAACCCTCAAAACAGGTCACAGGTATTTTCACAATCATGTATTTTTTTCACCACACCTTGTCACTTGTGTGGCGGTGTTTGCTCACTACACCTCACTGCTACACTGGGTGTGCCCACCACACCTTGCCACTACCACTCTGGGTATGATGGTGGGTGCTCACTACACGTGTGCTACCACTTCTTGGCACCTCCTCCTATGTCACTCACAGCTGTCTTGATATAGAAAAACTTGGCTGGTCCTTCGTTCTCCCAGCTGCCTCCACCTGCCTCTGCCCACACATGCGCCCCTACACCGACACCCATACACCCCTACAAACTCTAACCCCCCTACTCCCCCCCCCCAAGCACACACATAAAACTCTCTCACGTTAAACAAACACTCCAGCTCCCCTCAGCCCCCAGACGCCCCACAGTCATACCCACTATACCCTCTACCTCTCCTCAAGTTAGGTAATACCTTTTCAGCCTCAGGGTGGCCCGGAAGTGAAATGACTTAAGCGAGAAACTAACGGAAGGAACACCGTACACGGACCCGCATGACAGACAACCAGTGAAACAAAATATGCAATTATAATAATAATCTAACAGACAAGCTCCGTTCCCTCGAGGCACAACATTAGCCCAAATTATCTTCACCACTTTATTATCTAGTACGGATACACACACAAATCATAGCACTGTAATATACTTCGTAGAAAATATGAGAATTTGATAAAGAGTAACATCCAAAGACACAGTGAACCTCCGATGTTAACAAAGTTTTCTTGCAAAGGGCTACAGAAAATAATAACATAATCACTGGGGACGTATTTCAGCTCACACAAGTCGCTCCTGCCTCTCACAACTACTGGATCAATATGACATGGCCTTGGATGCACTGGAAGAAAATCAGAATGCAGATGTAATATACACAGACTTTGCAAAAGCATTTGACAAATGCGATCATGGCGTAATAGCCCATAAAATACGTGCTAAAGGAATAACTGGGAAAGTGGGGAGATGGATCTTCAACTTCCTAACAAATCGAACACAAAGAGTAGTGGTCAACAGAGTTAAATCGGAGGCTGCCATAGTGAAGAGCTCTGTTCCACAAGGCACAGTACTCGCCCCCATCTTATTCCTTATCCTCATATCAGACATAAACAGAGATATACACCACAGCACCGTATCATCCTTTGCGGATGATACTAGGATCTGCATGAGGCTGTCATCTGCTGAGGACGCGGTTAATCTCCAAGAAGATATAAACAAAGTTTTCCAGTGGGCAACGGTAAACAATATGATGTTCAATGAGGACAAATTCCAACTACTCCGTTATGGAAAACTGGAGGAGATACCTGGAGTTTACCTGGAGAGAGTTCCGGGGGTCAACGCCCCCGCGGCCCGGTCTGTGACCAGGCCTCGAACAGAGTATACTACTGACTCCGGCCATACAATAGAGCGGAAAACTAATGTAAGGGACCTGGGAGTAGTAATGTCTGAGGATTTCACTTTCAAGGATCACAACAGTGCCACGATCGCACGTGCAAACAAAATGATAGGATGGATAATGAGAACGTTCAAAACGAGAGATGCCAAGCCCATGATGATCCTTTTCAAATCACTTGTTCTCTCTAGGCTGGAATACTGCTGTACATTAACATCTCCATTCAAAGCAGGTGAAATCGCAGATCTAGAGAGTGTACAGAGATCCTTCACTGCACGTACAAGTTCTGTCAAGCACCTTAACTACTGGGAACGCTTGGAAGCACTTGACTTGTACTCGTTGGAACGCAGGAGGGAGATACATCATAATCTACACTTGGAAAATCTTGGAAGGAATGGTCCCAAATCTGCACACAGAAATCACTCCCTACGAAAGTAAAAGACTGGGCAGGCGATGCAAAATGCCCCCAATAAAAAGTAGGGGTGCCATTGGTACACTAAGGGAAAACACCATAAGTGTCCGGGGCCCAAAACTGTTTAACAGTCTCCCATCAAGCATTAGGGGAATTGCCAATAAACCCCTGGCTGCCTTCAAGAGAGAGCTGGACAGATACCTAAAGTCAGTGCCGGATCAGCCGGGCTGTGGCTCGTACGTTGGACTGCGTGCGACCAGCAGTAACAGCCTAGTTGATCAGGCCCTGATCCATCGGGAGGCCTGGTCATGGACCGGGCCGCGGGGGCGTTGATCCCCGGAATAACCTCCAGGTAACCTCCAGGTATTGAAAAATTGTAGAAATACTCCTAAAAGTTTCTAAAGACGCTTCATAATGCTGCACAGTGACTACCGTTTTTTATG